ATCCAACAGAAAAACACCCAGAGCAGCAGTGTAGAAAGCAGGGCGGTGCAGAACCGTGAGAGAGGCGCCGCGCAAGGCTGGTGGCCTGATTGATGATAAGTGCCACCTGCGCGCTACACTGGTCTCGTATCTCTTACGGAGGAGCTTCGAAAGCTTAAGGAGGAGTGACGATAATAAAGGATGAGAGAGTAAAACTATTTTATGTTGTTTTGTTTATGTGTGTGTGGCAGTCATCCGTGTGTGGGTTTCAATTTTATTTTTGTGTTTGTTTATTTTACAATTAAAGTCTTTAAATGTTAGCTGTTTCCAACATCCTTCTTCCCCTGGACAACTAACCTCATTACACGCGGCTTTCGTTTCTGCTCTGATAGCTGCAAGACTACGCCGAACACAGTGAACACCCCGATGTAGTCACGGCAAAGTTCTTTTTCGTTTTCTTCTCTTGGGGTAAAATGAAGTCCGAAATACATGACCAGCGATATATACTATAAATGCACATGCTTCTTTAAATATTAGCTATGTTAGCATACTAACCGCTATTCACACGTGACGTCACATGTACTGGCTGGCGGGCAAGAACTCCGTTCTCCAGCAACGAAATCCAGTAAACATCTTTTATACAAAAGTCGAGGAGTAAAAGACAGGACAGATAGTTGTTGTGCGATTGGTTGCACTAACCAGTTGAGATAAGCAACCTTTACAGTATAACGTTACATGTCTGTGGAGTGATCATTCCATCACTCAAGGTAATTTCAACATTTTTTTTAATACAATGGGTGTATGATCATGTAATTAATCGTGTCCTTAAGTTAACCTGTAGTTTCGTCAATCAACGCCACCAGCTTGTTTGGCAAGTCAGCTGTTTGTGTTATGAAGCCTACTGTACGTTCCCCACCCCCGTCACGAGAGCGGCAAAATTCATTGAAAAATTAATGACTTCTGGGCACTTTGACACTCTCGCCGGTGGCGGTGTAAAAATACTGTCGTATTTTACGAACAACAACAAAAGTGTGTGACAGGTTGTTTTGAGGTTTGTGATATCTATGGTTTTCAATGAGAACAGTAGAGCTAGATTATTTACGGAGGACTTATTACTGCTCGATTATCTAAAAAAAACCTTCTCTGCTTTACACAATTAAACTACCTTCACCTTGAAGTTAATCCTAGTCCATAGTTATACAGCTATCTCACAAACAGACTGAGGGCCAATCCCAATTCTACCCCTTACCCCTTCCCTTTCCCCTAGCCCTACCCCTTCGCCTTCCCCTTGACCCTTGAAACAGAGTGGCAATGCGTAGGGGTGAAAATATTCCCCTAAGAAATGGGACACCACTACGCCTCCGTTAAACGTCATTATAAGTCGTCGCTAGCGCCTACGTCACAGGAGATGCGCCGATGTTTATCACAACTTCCAAGATGCCGTCGACAGCTGCAGTTATCTCAGTCGCGTGGGTTACAGCTATTTTCTTGCATCTTGTGAAGTTCGCAGGAAACAACGGAGACGACGAAAATATGTTGCGGGACTATCGTTAGCAAACTACAGTAATTTTAGCGATTTTTTTTTTTTTTTTACAAACGTTTCTGTGAAGAAACTGACCGTAAATATGAACACAATATTGAACGTAACATAAAGCAAATCTTTATTTGTCGTTATAATACTTATTAAAGCCACAAATACTTAAATTTATGGGTCTCCTTTGTCGCTTGGGCAGCCAGCCTGGGTTAGCAGTGACGCTTCTCATACCCCTTCGTTTGAAGTGTGCTCCCGAAAAATCTTCGTTTGAAGGGCTATCTGGCCCTTCACCCTAGCCCTCCCCCTCCAACCAAAAGAGAATTGGGGCAGCCCTACCCCTTCATGTGGACGCGCAAAACGGAGGGGAAGGGGAAAGTGAAGGGGTAAGGGGTAGAATTGGGATTGGCCCTTAATCGCACCTAGTGTAGAAAGACCTGAAACTACAGGACTTTACGTTGAAAATCCCCGTTTGTTGCCCGCCAGGCATCCAAGGTAGTCACGTGACAAGTATGAATAGACCAATGGTAGTACAAAAGTATTATTTACGAGCCGTAACAAACTTTTCTGAGAAGTTCGCTTAGGCAAGTTAGGCTGTTTTTGTTCAAAATGACGTCACAGCAGTTTTGTTCTTCAGTTTTGCTTGAAGAATATCAGGGCCTTCAGTGCGTGTTAGAATCAGGAATGGTGAGATAAAGCGTTTTTTACATTTTTCATCTTCAAATCAAACTTGCGTCTTCAGCTGACAAAGCTTAAATGCCTTCTGGATAGTGCGCATCTCAAAATGTTTACAGATTAGATCAGTAGGCGGAGAGTAGGTCATTCACTTCCGATTGTCTAAAACGCATCGTAATGTGAGGTGTAAACAGGGTCTAAGTGTTGGACTATATGGGGCCTTCTAATCTGAAAAGTTCAGAACCACTGGTCTATACATCACCTTATGGGAAGAAAATTCTGTACATCCCAAAATCCATCTATTCTTGTTTGCGAGAATTAAAAAAAAAACAGGGTTATTGAGGACATTTCCAGGATGACAGCCTTTTGGTATATTATGACTGCACATTATTTGGTATCTTTTAAAAAAACCTAAAATAAAACAAATACCCTCAGCAAATCAAATATACTAGTCAATGGTCTTTAAACTAGTCTGTGTGATAAACCAGTGTTTCAAGGCATATCTCTTTTTGCAGTGGGTGAGCAGAGAAATTGCTTTGAAGGTAATGCCCCTCATCAAATTCATCAGCAGTCAGGGGATTAGAGCCGTTATATTACCAAAAAGCTTACGATCTCACGGCACAACGGAGGGATTAAACACTTCTTATAAAATGAAGAAAGGAGAAGCAAACCATCTGACCAAGTCATGACCCTGTACACAAACAGCACTAGCAAACAGACTGATCTGTTCCTTTAGTGATTCTAAAAGGTCCATTTTAGGGGCTGTTCACAGATAATGTGTTTTTCCATTCCACTGCACTACTTTTCCATTGTTTTTCAATGAAAATACGCTAGACGGGCATCTTTAACCTTTGTTCTCACATCTTTTGCAGCATTTCACAACAAATGACCAAGATTGCAGACTCGACACAGGCTAGATATAGCCTGCTTATATCTATTAGTACAGAGACTGCAACCTCCAGTGATTTATTCACTGTTGGTGTGAATGAGACTTTATGGGTATTTACCACCCCACATTTACACACACATAATTGTGTGTTGTACTGACTGACTGAGGTGGTATAAAAGTCATTTTATCCACTGACTCCTTGCTAAATCCATTTCTGCTTAATTTCTGCAAAGTACCTTGTTATGTAGTATGTACATAACTGTAATATGTAAATTAAATGTGGGCTTTGTCTATATTTACAACAAATTAGTGTACAATACAAGTCAGGGCTCTAGAGTGTGGCTAAAATTTTTCCTAGGCCGCACCGGTCCGTTGCCTCTCCACAAACGAAGCGCTTTTTCTCCTTCACGAAACTCACACTCATGATTGGATCATATCGTGGTCTAAACCAATCAGAGACAGAGATGGGATGGGTCTTTGCCTCAGATCGGCTGTGGTCCAGATATTCCTGTAGGCCTACACTGCTCGTGCTCCGTGCTGTGTGATTAAAATTGTGACCCGAGCACAAGCGAATCAGGCCTCGTTTAAACTGCCAGTGAAATGTGACCAAATTCCGATTGTTTGCTATTTGACAGATCGGATATGTTTTATGACCGTGTAAACAGGAAAAAAACGCATGCATTCGGATATTTCGAGATCGGTTTCAGGTCTTGTTCATATGTGGAAATAAATCAGGTATGTGCCAATGCGACTGTCATGTAAACAGGCAGATCGGATATGCTGAGGCATTAGGCTACGTCTCTGCGGTTTAATGACGAGAGCAATCGCATCTGCAAAGGGACGGATGTCCAAACAAAATGCTGTGTCGTCGTAGGAGAGGAATGTGGACACACGTTGACAAAATATTAAAGGTTGGCTTGCTCATCCTAAAATTTCGGACCCACTGCCCATAGTTAAAACCCGCCACGATCTCATGAAAGTGTGTCTATTGCACAAATTTTATTTATCGTGGCATTTACGCCAAAAATAGTTTGATTGCATATTATACACACTTTTTGGCGTTTAATACGCACATTCACAGTGAAGCAGTGAGCTAAAAACAATTTTTGGTGTAAATACATGGACCGGATATTGGTCACAATTTAAAGAACGTGTAAACAGACGGTCGAAAAAAATCGGATAGGCAACAAATCAGAATTGGGCATCAAGACCTCCAGTGTTAAAAAGACCACGGCAATCAGCATCAGCAAAATATACGCAAGAAAATAGACAACAAACAATGAAAAGAAATAGACACATAGAGAGTTTTTTCTTTAAGAAAAGTAGGCCTGTTCCCCCTAACAACTTTTCCCCCACAAGTATTTACCTACACCTTATTCTTGTTTAAAATCATTTACATAATATATATATATATGAATGTATATGGAGCGTAATAAAAAGGTGACCTTGAAATTGTTGCGTTAAAGGCGAGGCGAGCCGATGAGAAATTTGGGGGTACCTAAATTTTGTGCTGGTGCCCTGCAAGTACACTACTGTTCTAAAGTCTGGAGTCAGCACAATTTTTGTAAGAAATTAATAGTTAAATTCAGCAAGGATGCATTAAATAAATTTATAATGAAAATGTATCACAGTTTATCAAAGAAATAAAATACATTCAAATACTTTAGAATCAAATAAATGGAGCCTTGCTGAGCATGAGAAACTAAAAAAATAAAATAAAAAAAAAATGTACTGACCACAAGCTATTGAATAATAGTGCACTGAAATTATTTAGTGAATTCAACCATTTCATAATAACACAACACTAGAGTGAATAACTGATCATAAGCAGTGTCTAACAAAAGTGAGTGCAGTAACACAATAGTGATTTAGCCAGTAGCCTAAAACAAAAGGTTTGTAAATGGCAAACTGTTTCTTGTTTCTTACCCAGCTCCAATCATCAGTGAACGTCTGACTGTGCCGTCATTGTGCTCTATGAAACACATCTAGGATACTCTGCTCCGGTTCATTTAGGGATCTGCTTCACAGAACATCTTGTCATACCTGAAACAGATGAAATAGAAACAGAAATAAGTTGAGCTGTGGAACTAGAAAAATAAGAAAATCTTTACAGAATATTTGATTTGATTAGCCTATTGTCTCCTGACGGAGAAATTCATCTTGGGCTTTCAAGATAGCAGGTGCAACACAACATGCATAACACATAAAAAAATGACCTACATATAATTTAACACTTAAAAAAAAAAAAACTAACTAACCCACACACCCTATTTGTTGTTGTTCAATATTTTTATAGAGAGCGGTACAAATGAAAATGTAAACCTATTCAGTCTACAGTTTGGTAACCTGTACCTTTTACACGAGGGCATCATCTCATACTCACTGTGGATGACATGATTCGGATCGTTAGTCTTGTTTAAACTCTGTTTCCTCACTGCCTCTCAAAAAAGCTCATTAAGAGTAGTCGTGGCACTTTTCCAATTATTTTTCCCACCCTTTTTAATCAATGTTTGGAGCTGTGATTTTAGTTTAACTGACAGGTTACCAAACCAGGCTCCAATACAATATCTTATATATTATATATTGTATGTATAATGTACATGTCTCTCTGTCTAGTCCGTAAATCTTCTGCTTTCCAATTTAGCTTCTTTGCTCAGTTGGCTCCTCCTCCATTCCCTAAAATGTGCAGCCTGAAGAGCAGACTCAGCAGATTCACACATTTTTCTCCTTTTTGTTTTATGACAAAAACTTAAGTTATCAGAATAAATGCAATGCCTGTTGCATCCCATCTTGCATCAATATTTTTTATATAAAGTTTAAATGTTCATATCTCTGTTTTTACTTGGACTATCAACACAAAACAAAAAGTAAAATAGAATTTCAAGCCAGTACTTTTGTGGCTTTATTTTTGTGTTTCGACTTAAACTGGTCATGTAACTTAATCACGCCAGCATGACTGGCGACCCCGAAGAGTCAAAAATGGAGCAGCCTCTGTTTGCATATGGCTATTGGCTACAAAAGCAGCCATGTCACCCTGTAGCCCAGGACCGGTTACCCACTGAAGCTAAGCAGGATTGAGCCTGGTCAGTACCTTTGATTTGTTTGTGTTTTTTTTTTTTTAATTGTGTGTCATGAATGGATGCTATTATATCATTGTACTGCAAAACAAATTTACCTGCGGGTACAAATAAAGTGCCCTAACCGGACTTAACGAAGGAGCGCACTAAAACATTTTCTGTAACCTGAAGACTAAGTTAACACTGTGTGCTTATCTCTTCTGAGGTTGTGGCCAATTTCAGATATCATCTATTAACACCAGCTAAGCCTGTTTATTGGTTGTCCGTCTACGGCGATGGCATATCCACTTCCTGGAATAAACATCTGATTGCAAACAGCTTTAACTGCTTTAAGTTATTCAACCCACAGATTAAATGTACTATCAAATATAGATGGTGTTGGCGGTTGTTTGTTGACTGTTCTGTTAAAAAAAAAAAAAAAGAAATTGTTCAGAGGAGATCAACTCCAAGCTAATTGGCCAGTAATCCATAAATGAAATCTGTTGTGAGTGAAAATGAAACTGGCACAGCACATTTGGCCTAGGCGTTAAGTAGACTTTCACGTCAAGGAACACTGAGTTACAGTCTATAAATAGACCATAAATGATGGAGAAGAAACAAATACATATTAGTAATTGCATTCATGATGAATTTACAGGCTTGTCGACAGCCTGGTCGTTAATGTAGTGACGATCCATCAACCACAGTGAGTGGAAAGTGACTGTAACTTCACCCCAACAATTAATCTCCGCCATAACAGTTTTCCGGCACCCGAGGAGAGGCTTGTTAAATTAAAAACCGCAGTAAATCACACCGTAAAGAAGGTAGTAATCATTTTTTATAAAATGGGAATATTGACGAAGCACTTAAATGATATTTTCTAGTTTATAACATTCTGTTGGACACAAGGCTCATTTCATTGGCAGGGCTCTCATCTGTCACAATGTAACAATGTTATGGAATATAAAAAAAATAGATTAGATAGCAGGAATGATTAGACATGATGTGGATAATTCATGACTATTCAGCCAAGTAGGGTTTTAAAAGGCTACATAAGCAAGCAACACACATTTTCAAGGTAAATTGCATTTAATGCTCATTGCACATCACAGATACTGATCTTCAGGGGGGTGTCTTGGAGTCACAACAGAAAAGTCTCTGCATATCAATGCTAGTTAACACCTCATTTACTGTGCTGGGCATTGTCGATGGTTACTATTTAAAGCCTCGTCTTTCATGTCTGCTTTCTCACCTAAATCACAGAAGCTGAAAGATGAAATCCCAGCAATTTAAAAATTCCTTCAGGTCATACTCTGATGGACTAGGAGGAGGGCTACAAACAAAAGAAGTGTGACATCATGTATCAATAAAAACCTTGAGCTAAACTCAATCTGCCAGGTCACTTCTATAGCTAATCCCTTAGATACGATGCATTGTCCGTGTGAAATTATCACTCTTTTGAGCATGATCTTTTCAATTGATCAGTTTATCCCATTCACACATTCAGTCTGAAAAATCAGTTCACAAATCACACATAACTTATAGAAAGGCTATAGTGCAAATATCATAAGTCTTCAGTGAATAATGACTTCAATTTCTTCCTCTTTCTCATACAAAACAATCAGATGACTTCAGAAGATTTGGATTACAGAAATCAGAATGAAAAGAGGGTGAGTAAGTTACAAAATTATTTAGCTCAATACTAGGATTCAACTACCCTTTCAAGTCAGCAGCACAGACAAGAAATTGTGAATGCCGTCTCCTTTTCTGTTGTGGCAAATCTGAGTGAAACCACTCAAACGAGAAAAAAAAATGTAGGGTGGGATTTCGTCCATCAGGAATCAATTGAATTGTCATATTTTATTTTTTATGATCGTTTTATGTGAGAGACAGGTTGTTAGGGGAGGGATTGGAATTTATCGAGCTATTAGACAACTGTTATGACCAGCCTTTCCCAGCCTTCATAGATTTCATACAAGTCATAAAATGAAAAAATTCATAAAAAAAGATGATTTTTGATTTCATGGTGACATTAAAGGGTTAGTTCACCCAAAGAGGAAAATTCTGTTATTATCCACACCCAAGTCATTCAAAACTGCAAGACTTTCGTTCATCTTTGCAACACAAATTAAGGTATTTTTAAAATCTAATAAATTTTGTCTCTCCTCTGAAAGTCTAAGCAACCAAAACTTAGGTTTGCAGTACACAGTATAGACAAACTTTCTCCATTGTTTCATCTACACACACAAACTTGTTATTCATTCATGTATGTCAAGATATAAAAGGGGAATAAAACATATCAAATTGAATAATGTATTTAAATACAGGTTGTCTACCCTGTCCATATGGTGTGTTTAATGTTTTCCAAAGGCCAAATAAGGACTTACTTTAGCAAAAAGCCCTTGAGGGTTAGTTACTGTTCAGACTTCAGAGCACATGCCATATGCTTGAGAAAAAGAGAGAGAGAGATGCACTCATTCACGTGGCAGCTACCTCCTAACGTCGTATCCCTAGAATGAACTGAGGTTCTTCTAAATCCAGCCACCATCACACGTCTGCATGCACAGATACACACTCTTATGTAGAAAAGGCAATTAAATAGCTAACTGAAATTAGTTTGAGACAAATCTCAAAAGAAGAGAGTGGATTTTAAAAGACTAAGAGAGGAGGAGATTTTGAAAAGTTGAGATGTTGGGGGCGGGAAAAACAAGAGATTGAGGTTGAGTTTATTCTGAAGAATACACAACAAGCTTCTTCAATTCTCCTTTTGTAGAGACAGGAAAAACAATCATCAACATTAGGGGTGGGCGATATCAGAGAATGTTATCAGAGAATGATAATTGAAGAGAATTGGCACTGGCTGGTTACTTCCGGGTTCTGGACTGGCTGCAGTAACACGTCTCTGTCCATGCGGGGGCGCTCGCAGTCGAGTGCAGAATGAATGGGAGTCAATGGAGTTTCACCCCCATAAATCCACTTTTCTCAGGATGTAATTTTTTGTCAAGTAATTTGAAAGTTGCATTGAAAAGGGAGGGCTAAAATAATACACTCAGTTGAAAATTGCATTTTTAAGTTCACTTATCTGTTCTAAAAATCCGTTCAAAAATGTGATGACGTCGGATGATACACAATGGGGCTAATAGGAAGTGCCAAGGCTCTCCGTTAGACAGGCTCTGGCGATATGAACACAATCTTACATCACGATATGAGAAATTGTATTTCACGATATATATCATGACATAGTTACAAATTCTTTTCACCAATTTTAATATCACAAAAAACTAATACTACTCTAAGTTTAAAAAAAAAAACTCAATCTTCCTGAAGACAAGTAAAGTAAACAGTGATAAAGAAAGAGCAAATAAACTAATTACAAGAATATAGGAAAACAAACTACAATAGAAAGCATGTGAAATTGACCTACCTGAAAAAATTCAAGAACTAGAAATAAGAACAATAAATTGCATAATGTAATGGAAAAAAAAAAAACACTGCATTGTGTTCACTGTGTAAATTATACAATTATTCTTATTAAAGTTACAAAAGTGATTTGGTAAAGAGCAGAGATATACTGTATATTTTTTTTGTATGCGTGGTTGATGAACATTAATAATGACTATAGGTAAATTGGATGCTGCCACTTTAAGACCGACTGCACAGATCCGATACTTGTGCACTTTCTTTCTCAACGGTTTACGTTTACTTAAGACATAAATGATTGCGTTTACTTGCAAAGACATGGTCACTTTGACACAAGTATGTGCATTTAATAGTTCAAACTCAAAGCATTCAGTTCAGTTCTCATGCACATTATAAACAGAGGCTTCATGTTCAGTATGCGCATAAAGCGAAATAAGTTTTCTTTCGCTGCTTACTACGCTTCAACAGTTTAAAATCACTTGTTTTTAAACCGCAATACTTAAAATGCATGCAAAGATGAGCTTTCATGACAGTTTAGCACAGCAATGTAGCGTGACCACAATAGAG